CTTCTACTTTCTGCACAGATAGAACAGAATCATTTATGTCAGCGCGAGGATTATTGTTGGGGATTAGCAAAGGATTTGTCCTTTGGGCTTCTTTAGATCCTGGCTAAGTATGGATGACTCTATTTAGGAGGGCTCAACTACATTTATAGACATCCTAGTCCTTGAATAATAGAGCACTGAGGTTCTTCCCTGACCACAGATGCCTTACAAGCCTTTCCAGTGTAAATCTTAGATTACCCTCCACTTGCTCCTTAGGGTAGATGTTTTCTCACAGTCCTGCGTATTCTGCTTTGTGAATAGTCTGTCTGTTGTATGTTGCTGTTCTTTATGATCTCTTTGAGAAATGCTTATTATTACTTTCATTGTACACATGGAAGGAGTATTACATTAGGAGTGTATTGAGGGCCTACTGTTTGCCCAGAAGCTGGTAGAACACCCTGGCTGTTGATGCCCAGTCGGTAGTCGGTAACAGAGAGCAGCTGACCTGACCTCTCCTAACAAATATATTTTTCTGTGTCGGTAGATGGTCAATCCCTGAGAAACCATGATCTTTGTAGAGTGAGTAGGCCTACTTTCTGGGTGGAGAGTGGGGTTTGTTTTTTTTTTTTTTCTAGTTTATATACTTAAATTTTTTTTAGAGAGAGCCTTGTTTATTTTAGAGAGATTTTGGAAAACTAAATGCTGTGCAAATGTAAGATATTACATACTTAGAATCTTTGTTCTCAAGGGGTTTGAAAGCATTGCTTCTACTTAGATGATAACTGATCATAGTAAAGTGAGGCATTTGTTGCAGAGAAGTTGGAAAGCTTGCTTCAGGGCACACATTTAGAGATAGAATTGCAGGCTGGGTGTGAGATTCAGTGAACTGTACGCTGATCTGGCCAGGCATTTTGATGCATTCAATCTCAGTTACTTCACAAAGCCGTCTTATAATTGCAGCCATCTTCATAAATAAGGAGAGTCTGTCCTGTTTTAGAAATACGATGGCTAAGGTCCAGACGGACTGGCACCACGTCTGGTAATGGCAGTGAGCTTGAGAACCCAGCTGTGTTCTGATTCATCTTTCTTCAGTGGGATGAATCCGTGCTTACCCCTTGATTTGGGCGTGTTTTCCAGTGGACCCTAGCACAGTGCCTTCCTCCTGCCTCCCCCCATACCACCCAGCTATTTGCTCACAAGGTTACTTCAGAGTGCCCACCACTGTTGGGGAATGCTCTGGAACCCTCCCTTAGTCATCTCTCACAAACTCCCATTTTGGCCACATGTCCAGAGCTCCAGCCGTCTGGGTCTGCCCTGAATCCTGGTGATTGTGCTAGATTTGGGGATTGGAATGGATAGGCGAATTATGGCTTTGTTGGTAGACTTTCACTTGGCAGAAGCTGGCTCTCAACCCTGGGTGGTTTCTAGGAGGGGTCTTCCTTCCTGCCTCCTGCTCTGCGGAACCTAATCCTCAGTCCTACCATGGAGCTCTTGGGTTGGTGTGCAAGCGGACTTTGACATCCGGGATTCAGTTAGCAGGCATTTAGTGAAGGAAAGACTCGACAGAGGAAATTCCCAGGACTTCTTAGTCCTCATTCAGTGTTTTCAGATGACTAAAGAAACATGTAATTCTGTGTTCTTCCAATTATCCAGCTGTAAAATGGAATAATACCCCATTCTAACTTTAGTGAAGTGTTATCTGTGTGTATTATTAGATTACATTTCTCACCCAAGAAAGCTGTTGTAAAAGTCCAGCTAGCAAAAATGAATAAGTTACCTGGGTATTTGCAGATTTCAAAAGCTTAAACTAATTTCAAGTAGCAATAAATGAAGCTATATATTTTAGTGGTAGGTAGCTCAGTTTTAAAAGTGTTTTCCTCTTCTGCTTCAGGAAATGTGGCCATAAAATTTTCTTTTTTGTAAAGTTTATTTTTATTTATTTTGAGAGAGAGAGAGAGAGAGAATGTGTACAAGCAAGGAAGGGGCAGAGAGAGAGAGAGAGAGAGAGAGAGAATCCCAAGCAGCCCCAATGCTGTCAGCATGGAGCCCAACATGGGGCTCAGTTTCAGAAACCATGAGATCATGGCCTGAGCTGAAATCAAGAGGCAGTTGCTTAACTGACTGAGCCTCCCAGGGGCCCCAGCAATAAAATTTTCTTAAGAGAATATTTTACAAAGGAGTAAATGGAGGTTGGTCATTTTCCAAATAGGTTTTATTTGAGTAGCTTGATGAAAAATGGTAAAGGCGATCAGCAAATAACTGTGAACAAAAGTAACGAACAAGGAAGCACCAGGGAGGTTATGGAATGTTTCAGCAAAAACGCCAGAAATAAAGTTTTGAGGTCAGAGGGAGAATGGGGTGGAAGTAGTGTCCTGACATCTGAGGGCAGTGGGAGGGCTGTGAAGAGGGGTGTGTTTTCCTCACACATTTCTTGTGAAACTCTTTTGACTTCCCAGCTATCTGCTGTGTCTGCTTGCTTCTGGCAGAGAAATGATGTGTGACTGCACTGCCATGATAGTTCTTAGTAAATCTTTGTGGTCTGAGAAGAGTAGAGTTTTAAAAAATCCTTTTTAATGTAACTTTATTTTTTCAACATGAAAAATTATCACAGGATTCAAAAGTCAAACTGTAGATTAAAAAGTACGCACAGAGAAATGTGTCGTCATTCTCTTTCCCAACTCCTCACCCAGCCCCCATAGGGTAAGCGTTCCCATTTGTTTTTACTAGACCTTTCCTGTAATTCTTTTAGTAAGAAATTGACCAAAGGTACAGTTCTCCTTTTCCATAAAAAGGAGCATACTGGATGCACGCTTTTGCATATTGTCTTTTCAGTAACCCCATGTCTTAGAAATCATTTCATAGTGTTTCCAAGAGACCTCATTGGTGTTGGCCACGTTGTGTGGATTTATCATCGTTTATTTAACTAGCCTGCTGTGAGTATCTGTGTCATTTCCCGGATTTTGCTGGTAGAAATAATGCCGTGAGAAATAACCTTGTGCATAGTGTGTTCCATGTTTGTGGAGAGACTGGCGGTGGTTAAAGCAAAATACATTCGTGGTTCCTCAGATGCTGCTAACTGTCCTTCCCAGTCATCATGTCCGATAGCGCCTGGGGCTTGGGCTTTATGTAGCAGTTTGGTGCTTTCCTATACCCTGTTGTTGTGCTGGGGTTCACACATACCCCCATAGATGGCATACACACATCTGTGCGTGTCACACACCCACCACACGGGCAGAGAGAGCTCCCTTTCCCGGAGTCTGTCAGCCTGTAAGTGGCAGAGCTGGGCGCGGGATCCGAAGTCTTGGGCCACATCTCTCTCTGCCACCCCGTAGCCCTAGGACAGCAGGGGAGAGGCGAGGGTCCAGTTCTAAGCAAGTGTGCGTCTACAGTAGCGATGGAAACTAAAGAAGGAATGGTTAACATGCCACCGGGAAGAATGACCTGGGCCTCTCATGAGATAAATTGTGATTTAGGGCGGAGACCTGAAATTGCCTTCCTTGCCAGCCTTCAGCTGACTTTCATTTCTTAAACCAAACAGGAACTAACGGTGTCTAAATTAAACTCATTTTCCATTACTAAAACTGGGTCATTTTGGGCTCCCTGAGTGTGCCTGAGTGTCCTAAAGCACATTTAAACTCCCCCAGTGTCTCACGCTCCTTTCATGACCCATCTGACTTAGTCCGCGTAACACGTAATATTTGCTCTCACCTCACTCTAGAGTCGGGGTCTGTTTCTGAAACTATCTGATAGGTGTCAGGAAGGCATTGCCACACACCTGCTGGGAAAGTGCCAGGAAAGGCAGAGAGGGTGGATGGCAGCGGGGGTGGGGGGCAGAGCGGGGGTTGGGTGAGACAGCCCCTGCCTTGCCCAAAGAAAGCTTTTTTTTTCACGGCGCCTTTCCCTGTTTTCCTGCTGGTAGGTTTTCACACTGTAATATTTGGAAGATAAATTTGGATGGTACACAGGGTCCAATGAACTGGATCATGAATGTAGGAAGTTGTGAATGAAAAGAAAATGTTAGCACAAGCCAAGGAATTTTAGAAAATCTTGTTTGGGTACGTGCGAGTGTTTCTGCTTGGAGCTCTTGCTCAGCACTTGGCGCCGTCGGCTCGCTCTCACTTGTTAGGAGAGTGAGACGGTCCGTCCAGCAGGACAGCCTTGCACCTGCTCTGCCCCCATACGGTCAAGCGTCACGCTTCCTTGGAAAGCACTGGGGAGGCTCTTAGTGCCTTTCCTCACCTCCTCCCTGTTTCTCATCTCTGGGAATGAGGGCAGGGGCCAGGACCGGTGCTCGCAAGTGAATCCTGATTTACCAAGTCTGGCAGATGTGGCTCCCCACGGGAGGATCAATGATTTGAATATGGCTTTTGGAATAATCTGAAGTATAAAGACCTAGAAATGTCAAAACTGTGGAAACGACCTTTCTAAAAGTTGGGGGGAAATGGCGATAATTGTGATATTTTATTTTTAGCACATTTTAGATATTTGGAGTATTGCACTATGTGAATTTTTAAGTTTTATTAAGTTTATTTGTTGGTTTTGAGAGAGACAGACCATGGAAGTAGAGGAGGGGCAGAGAGAGAGGGAGAGAATCCCAAGCAGCCTGATGTGGGGCTTGAAAACACAAAGCCGCAAGATCATGACCTGAACCAAAACCGAGAATCAGGCATTTGACTGACTGAGCCACCCAGGTGCCCCCGTACTATGTGAAGTTTTAAAAATGGATTGTCTTTACCTTTTTAATGAATTGGTCATGCCCATGTATGTAGGGAAATAAAAAGCTAGAAAAATTACAGGCAAATAGGTGTTTTCCTATGTTTTCTTCCCTTTTAAAAAATTTACAGAAATAAAAAGTCATCGTGGAGGGTGGGTCTCCCTCTGGCCCATTGCCTCCCCCCAGCCCTCTGCTTTCCACACTTCAAGGTGTGTCACCTCATCTTCCCTGGTGTCTTCTGTCAGATCTGCTTCACACTATGCAGATGGCTTTCCACTGATAAAGATTTTCTTCCTTCTATTTTCAGTGCACAGAGGCCAAAAAACATTGCTGGTATTTTGAAGGGCTCTATCCAACATATTATATGTAAGTATTTGCATTTTTTTCTGTTGGTTTGATCTTGTGGCTCATCTTTCTCTGGCAGTTATTTCTTTAATGGGTAACAGGACTGGCTATGGGATGGAGGACGCTCGGTCCGGGGAGGCCTTCAACCCTGGTTTCACCTGCCTCTGCTCACGATGGTGCAGGTGACTTCCCAAAAGTCACTGGGCCTGCTCTGACCACTTACCTTGAAGGCAGCGGGAAATACCAGGTGCTTTGCTCTGTGATGCACGTGGGCTCATACACCGTTGGACAGGAGGGGCAAGGTATCTGAGCAGGGCCAGAGTCGTGCTGCCTTAGACAAACTTTCCGAGATAAAGGGAGCAGTGGCAGTAGAATTTTGAACTTGAGCCAGATAGGAAAAAGCCCTCAGCTCAGCGGCTGGGACTGTGTGTGTGTGTGCGTGTGTGCGTGCGTGCCTGCCTTTGTTGACAGTGATTACAAAGATCACCTGGCCCGCCCCGCCCCCCCCCCCCCATGGGTACAGTCAGCTTTCATGGCTCTTGGCTCCGAACACAATATGCTTCTACGTGGGCCCTGGGCACCGGCCGGTGTTACTCTAATTACAGCAGTGTTGCATTGCACCCTTGTTTTATGGGTTTTTTAAATATCTGCTGATTTAGCCTCGGACTATGCTGAACTACCTGCCTACGTGGTCAGATTAACTCTGGAGATTATCAGTTATTATTTTTATTGTATTTTGCAGTTCCATAGGTTTTGAGAGGAATGCCCTCCAAAGCAGTCTTTTCCCCAAACTCTGTTATTTTTGGTATTGAATTTTGTAAAACAAGAAAATTTTCAGTAACATATATAATCACGTTATAGCAGAAACCCTAGATATTTTAGCGTATAGGGAGATTGGAGAGGAAATAATAATACTAACCAAGAGTGTTATTTCTTAATTGGCCAATATGTACATGTTTATTACCTGCCATTCTTGGGGGAGTTTTTGATCTTAAAGAGACAAATACAGGAGGAGGCAGGTTGCCTACCTGTGACTGGGGACACGTGGACAAGCAGGAGCCCTCAGTGCCCTGCAGGGACCCTGGCAGAGTGCCTCTGCAGTGGCGAAAATGACAAAGGCCGCTTGGAAAAATAAAGCAGCAGCATAAGGGCTTTAATTACAGAGCTGTCAGCTTGAAGGAAAATGGTTATGAGAGAGCATGGAGGTAAAATATTTAGGTTCTTAGAACAGTGGATATTCCTTGGGAAGCCTAGTTCCTTGATGCAAGAAATGGGGCATGTCTTCCTGTGCGTTCTTCTCTGAAAACAAATCTTTCTCACGTCATTCTGTGGATCAGCTGATGAACCATTTCTTGGTTTTTTAGAGGTTGAGAGTTGGAGGTCATTGCTGTTCTTGCCTTTACTTGTTTGTCTGTTCCTTTATTCATTTCCTTATTCACTCTGTATTTGGAAAGTGTTTTTGTATTGACAGAGAAGACAGAGACAAGCCTTGTTCTTGCCTTTAGTATGGTTGGTCTGCTGGTTTAGATTCCTCTCACCTGTCTTTAACCACGGTGAAGGGGAAGGTTCTAAAATTAGAAAGTAAAGCCACTCAATTATTAGAGTACTGAAGCCCAATATAAAAAAATAGTAATAGTAACATTGAGAATTTACTATAGCCTAGACATTGTCCTCTGCCCTTTACATAAATTAATGTCATTTTATCCCACAGCCACTTGAGAACTCCAGCCATACACACTAGTCTTGCCTCTGAGCTCTCTGTTGCCACTGCCTTCGTGTGAATCCATACCTGCATTAATGGTCTTCTGAACCATTGCATATACTTTTTCTTTTATCCAGCATCATTGAGATGAAATTGACATATAACCAGTGTATAAACTTAAGGCGTACAACGTCGTGATTTGATATACTTACATATTATGAATGATTCCCACCGTAGCTTTAGTAAACACCTCCATTATATCTCACAATTGTTATTTCTTTTTTGTGGTGGGAACACTTAAATTGACTCTCTTAGCAACTTGCAAATATATAATATAGTATTGTTAACTGTAATCACCATGCTGTACATGACATCCTCAGAATTTATTCATGTTATAACTGGAAATTTTTACTCTTGGACCCATATCTCCTCATTTCCCCAACCCCCAGACTCTGGCAACCACCATTCTACTCTCTTTCTATGAATGTGCCTTTTTTTTGATTCCACAAGTAAGTGAGATCATATACTGTTTGTCTTTCTCTGACTTATTTCACTTCCCATAGTGCCCTCAAGGTACATCCATGCTGTTGGAAATGGCAGAATTTCCCTCTTTCTTGGGGTTGAGCAGTATTTCATTTTATGTCTACACTGCATCTTTATGTATTCATCTGTTGATGGACACTTAGGTTGCTTCCATATCTTAGCTGTTATGAATTATGCTGCAGTGAACATGGGAGTGCAGATATCTCTTCAAGATCCTCTTTTCATTTCCTTTGCATATTTAACCAGAAGTGGGATTACTGGATCATGTGTTGTGATTTTATTTTTAATTTTCTGAGGATTCTCCATACTGTTTCCCATAATAACGTCCCGATTTCCAATCCCAGCAATGCACAGGGTTCTATATCCTCACTGATACTGGTTATCTCTTATTTTGATGATAGCCATTTTAACAGGTGTGAGGGGATACCTGTGTGTGGATTTGATTTACATTTCCTTGATGATGAGTAATGTTGAGTACCTTTTCATGTACTTGTTGGCTTCTTTGGGAAATCTATTCACTTCTTCTGCCCATTTTCATTTATTTTATTTATTTAAAACAATTTTAATGTTTATTTTTGAGAGCGAGAGAGACACAGCATGAACAGGGGAGGGGCAGAGAGAGAGAGGAGGACACAGAATCCAAAGCAGGCTCCAGGCTCCAAGCGGTCGCACAGAGCCCGATGCGGGGCTCATGACAGGAACCACGAGGTCATGACCTGAGTGGAAGTAGGACGCTTAACCATCTGAGCCAGCCAGACACTCCTACCCATTTTTAATTGGATTATTATTATTATTGTTGTTTTCCCTTATTGAGTTGTACGTGTTCCTTGTATATTGTGGATATTAATCCCTCATCTGACATTTACACATATTTTCTCCCATCCCATAGGATGATTTTATTTTGTTGATTGTTTCTTTTTCTGTGTAGTAGCTTTTTAGTTTCATGCAACATAGAGCCCTTTTACTGATGTTTGCTTTGGTTGTTTGTGCTTCTGGTGCCACATCCAGAAAATTATTGTCAAGACCAATGTCAAGGAGATTCTTCCCTATATTTTCCTCTACGATTTTTAGCGTATCAGGTGTTATAAGCGTTTGACCCATTCCAAGTTAATTTTTGTAGGTGGTGTGAGACAGAGCTCCAGTTATATTGTCTTGTGTGCATTTTTCCAGTTTTCCCAGCACCAATTGTTGAAGAAACCGTTCTTTCCCCATTGAGTGTTGGCTTCCTGGTCAACTATTCAGTGACGCTATATGGGAGGGCTTACGTCTGGGATCTCTGTTCTGTTCTGCTGGCCAATGTGTGTACTTTCATGCTCATACCATACTGTTTTCAGTACTCTATGGTATAGTTTGAAATCAGGAAGTGTGATACATCTAGCTTTGTTCTTTCTCAGGACAGCTTTGGCTATTCCCAGTCTCTTGTTCCATGTAAATTTTAGGATTGTTTTTTTCTATTTCTGGGGAAAATGCCCTGGAAATTTGATAGGGATTGCACTGAATACGTAGATAGATTTCTTTCTTTCTTTTTTTTTTTTTTAAATATTTTTTATTTATTTCTAGGGGGGAGAGAGAGAAAGACAGCATGAGCAGGGGAGGGTCAGAGAGAAAGGAAGACACAGACTGAAACAGGCTCCAGGCTCTGAGCTGGCAGTGAGCACAGAGCCCGACGCGAGGCTCGAACCCACGAACTGCGAGATCATGACCTAAGCGAAAGTCGGACGCTTAACCGACTAAGCCACCCAGGCACCCCAGAATACGTAGATAGATTTCTAATGAATCTTCTTTCATTCTCTTCTCTCCTCAAGTTCTCACTTCTTCCTGAATTACTGAGATTGTCTTGTCACTTCCCTGCTTAAAAACATCAGGAACAAAGTCCAGATTCTTAGCCACCTTTAAACAGTAGCTTCCCAAGGTACTTACCTAGTTTTATCTTCTTTATTAAGGGTCCCGTGAGGGCAAGCACCAGGACTTTTGAATATTTGAACTGCCGTGCCCACGATAGTGCCTGGCACACAGCGGACACCCCCAAATGTTGAGTGGGTGCGTTTCCTTCCATTCCTCACTGGAGGACCTACACTGGCAAGCTCTTCCCTGGCTGGAAAGCCTTCCTTCAGAATTCCATCCTTCTTCCTCATTTTGGTCCTTATATAAAATCTTTGATAGTCTTCACACAGTCTTGTGTGCCCTGTGAGTGCTCCCAGGACGGGCCATAACGCGTATGTTTATTAAACGCCACCGCTTGCCATGGTGCGTGGCACTGGATGTTAGCGTTCGTCTTTGCACAGTTCATTTCCTCCCGGTTGATCCTCCCTGTTTTTATTTCCCATGTTCTGGCACCTTGTCCTTAATCAGAGACTTTAAGTGCTCCAGGGTCCAGAAGATCAGAGTGCAAATATTTGCTCTATAACCCTCTTTAAAACTGAGGTGAAATTCACATAACAAAATTAACCGTTTTGAAGTGAACACTTCAGCAGTGTATAGTATATTCACAGCATTGTGAAGTCGCTGCCTTTATCCAGATCCACACATTACAGTCACTGCACTATTATTTGCTAGCCCTTTGACCTTCCCAGTTAGCTTCTTCTTGACATGTGGACGTGAGAGTTGCCCTGGCTGTAAAGCTTGGGGCCTGTGTATGGTCAGCACTGAAATCGTATACAAATATATACACGCCCAGGGCCAGCTCACATCCCCTCTGTGTATGTACACAAGGTTGGTTCTTCTACAAACTGAGCTTGCCACTTTACTGCACCAGCAAGGTGTTTAACACGTGTGA